ACAAAGTCAAACGCGTTTTAGCGTCCACATGACTAAAAGCCCTACGTATTAGCCATAAAGTTCTAAAACCCTTGGTGGCTATTGCACGGCAGTTTGCAGTAGTTAAGTCTTGGCTAACGATGAGTCTTATTTCATTGTGTGTCTGCACAACAGGTAGCTCAGTGTTATCCATCGTGTATGTATCAGTACCTTGATGACCGATATGCATCACAATACACTTGGAGGTATTAATCGGCAACTGCCAGTTTTGAGACCATTCAGATAATTTCTCCGGGTCATTTTGGAGTTCTAAGCTATCGCTCTTACTTCGTATCGCTTTCCATATCTTGACATCGTCAGCAAATAGCAAGACCGATGATGATAGGATATAAGGAAGGTCAGGTACATACAACAGGAATAACAATGGCCCCAAAACTGTACCCTGGAGTTCTCTACTCAAGACAGTTTCCTAGCTAGATAACTTTCAGTTCACCAGTACTCTTTGTTAACTCACAACTAGGAAGTCTTTGATCCACATCAATAGATCGCCCCCAATTCCGACACTTCTTAGCTTATATAACAGCCGATTGTGCAGAACTTTGTCAAAAGCTTTGCTAAAATCAATTTAGGTTACGTCTACAGGTAACTTTTGGTCCTTAAAAGTGCACCAGCTTTCACGAGCGACTAATAAGTTAGTGAGACAAGAAAAACCTATTCTAAAACCATGGTGCTTCTCTGAAAGGATTTGGTTTTCATCTAGGTACTTAAACAGCTCCTTCCGAATAATCTTTTCTGTGGTTTTAACAACCACATTATTTAGGCTAACGGGTCGGTAATTCTCAGGTTTATGTTTCATACCTGTTTTGAAGACAGGGCTTACTGTGGCATTCTTCCAGTCTTTTGGTAAACGACTCTGCGTTACGGATAGATTAAAGCATTACTTAAAGGGATCGCAACGATGTTAGGTAATTCTTTTAGTAGCGTAGGATGTAATTCATCGGGCCCCTGATTCGTATACGGCTTCTGATAACCGCCACTATCCAAACGGAGTTAGCGTAATTAATGCATAATAAGTCAAACGGAGGACTTATATTAGTAGTTCAGTCTTCAAAGTCTGATGATAGAATATTACTCACATTTTAAATTGTACGTTACATCGACTGCACGTGTTATGAGGCTGAACTTTAAGGTAATAGTGATTTGTGAATTTTCTTGATTGAAAGTTCAAAAATCTTTTTGGAACAGCCTACAAGTGTGGATCCATTGTTTTTACGAACAATGGTTTGGGTCTTTTGAGCCCAGTTGGCAACCAGATAACAGTTTTTGATCTTAAGAAGTAATTGTTCTGAGTATTCCTGATCGATGTCTTTTCAAGAGATGAAGTAGCATCTATTGATATTTCCTCGTTCCATGATGTGCACCACTTGGCTTTGTCTCCTTCAATACCTCTTCTAGTCGCCATTAATGAGGGTAATATGTTATTGAATGTGACCAACAGCTGTTATTAATAGTTGGTGATGCGTCTTTATGCTCACTCTCCACAGGAGCTGTGATATCTGTGTATCCTTTCAAGGGAGTGGTCTTGGCTGTTTCCTTCAGCCCAGATGGAAAGTAAGTTGCCATTGTATGCCTACTTATTTTAGGTTCTTGGCTGTTGCAAAAGGTAATAATGTGATGCTTTTCTTCGCACCCTCTCCAAACCGCCAGTTTAATCATTTGGAACTCTATCGCGTGTTTTACGGCTTTATGGATAACGTTACTTGTATTGATTGGTCTCGTGATTCTAGGTAAACCCATAAAAATAATAATCTGTTCAGGTTTTTCATTGCTGGATCAGTCGATTCCACTATCCGGTTATTCTCGGTGTACAATATACCCAAAATATTCGTCTACACACTAGCTGGACACAAAAACCCTATTATGGGGGCATTCATACTTCATAACTTTGTAAATATATTAACAGTCAGCTCTGATGGCGTATTATGTTTTTGGGAGGCAAACGTTTCTCTTGATCAGCTGAAGAGCATTGATGACTCAAAACCTGTCTCATTATTTAGGATCAGCAATAGGTGAGTCTAGTATGAAGTCATATGCTTATGCTTTTTATTCCTTATATGGTTAAATTGTATACGAATAATTTATGGCGTTTACACGATGTAGAAATAAAAACTTGATTCCGCTTAAGTTAGTTTTTATGGTCGGAAACAAATTGGAAATTCAACAAAATACCTGAACATTCGATAGATTTCGTCCAAATTATCTCCGTAATTTGCTGTAATCAGTGTTATTAGTCCTGAGCCTGAGTCATTTACGCACTCATCTTTTTTAAAATATAGTCTCAAAATCATTCATGAACTAAATCTGGGATGCTCGTCAGCTGCACACAAATAGACGGTCAAATAATTTCCACTAACCACCAGTTCGTCTAGCAGTATATTGTTATATTTTTATTTGCAATTCAGCTGCATCGCAGTTACATAATAGTTGCGATGAAATATTACTGTATATGGTTCTAAAACGCTGAGATATTGAGAGGACTAAAAGTAGTAGTGTTGATCGCTGTGTGTGACTGAATAAGACTTAAGTAATTCATTGATCAAAACGTTTATGATGCTATAACTTCCTGGAACAATTCGTACTGTTCTATAAGATGCCAAAGCTAGTAGTGTCATTGGCATGTTAGGATGCTTTCGGTGTTCAGTCAATGAAAGTATAGGTAGAATACAACCGGGTTTACATCTGTTTTCTTCATGAATTTTTGCGATCCCATTTATTTAAACTAAAAACAAGCGAATACTGGCTAAAATCTAGTTGAGGATCCTTTCTGGTTTTTATCCCATCTCTAATTTGTTAAGTTTAAGCTCATATACTTTGCTTTTAATCTCACTTCAAGTACCTGTCACTGTTACTAGATGATTACTGAAACTTATGTATGCCAAGAAGGGCTGGGATCTGCTATCTAATTGTTAAGAGTTAAACACTACCCACTAAGTTCCTGCATTCTTGGCGAAAAGCTGTTGTTCAGTCTCTGGAAACATAGTTGTCATAGGTTGGATAGGGAAGATTATGTTACTGTATGTAATTAGTTTCTATATGGGACCCCCAGATGTAGCATACATCAATGATACAAGTTTTTAAGGAATTGGCTAGTGAAGCATGTACAATTAAACGTTTTTAAATTTTAAGAGCTCCAACAGTATAACTAAATATCCATTTCTAGGTGCGTTGATCACCCGAAACAACGCAGAAAAACTAGGTGGCTAAGTTTATCGAAACCCAACTCATACAAATCTAATTGCAGTAACAACAACCTAACAGTTCATAAGTTCAACCGCGTGTGATGTCAGTCAGTCACAACGTAGAACTTAGTACGTACGTATATCGGTTCAAGCTGCCATACCCATTTAATTCAGAGTCGAATTTGTCAGTCCAAATCGGAGTATAGTAGAGGTGGTGACGGTACGAGTGATGAACCAAATACGAAGGCTATTAAAAAAAAGAAAATGCACTACAGCACAACCAACACAGAAATAAAATGAAATGCCCAGTGACAGTTATGCAAATGAGCAGTTGCCTACGTAAATCGTCAAAAAGATGCTTAGTCGACTCATTAATAATCACTGAATCGAGTGTGAAAGTCAACAAACGGATCATCTTATCGTAAATGAAGATGTCGGAAATCGCAACAAGATTATTGAGACAATTTGGGATGGGTGTAGCGCATAAGCTGACAAAACCACCCTATCAATTTCATTTTTATTTGAACACATAAATATTGGTACAAGAGAGCGCCAATATATGCGCCACACAAAACAATGAGAATTCGAAGAGAAGTAGAAGGAAAGAAAAAAAACAACTAAGGAACGCAAAAGAAAAAGAGAACAATGACGAAGAGATTGGAGTAAGGTAGTGTGGTAGTAACGACGGAACGACAAGGTACAATCAGAAGAAATCTTTCAGGTAAAGGAGACACAACCACTTTTTATAAAGAAAGTAAAAGAAGGTTACAGCAGGATCGCCACTGGCTTCTATTCTGAGCCATATCTGATAACGTCTCTAGCCACTGTGTAGCACCATCTCTCGGACCCCAGCCAGGGAGTCGTGAAGGACCAACACAAGCCAGTTTTTTGCAGCTTTCTTTCATGCCACGACACCATGTCATGCACTGACCACCTCTCCGCTTCTTCCAACCAGTCCCGGCGACGGCAAATAATGCACGACGTGGAATCCTCTGGGACGACATTCGGAGAACATGTCCAAGCCACCGAAGTCGGTGTTTCAAGATGGTGACACCAATTGCATTATCGTCTCTGTGCCCGAACACACGATGCCGAACCTCTGCATTACTGACATGGTGTTGCCACTGAATGTCAGCAATCCTTCGGAGACAGCGATGATCGAACACAGAGAGTCTTCTAACGTCCTCAACTCGGAGAGGCCAGGTTTCACAAGCATAGAGCAAAACTGCTCTCACCGACGCGTTGTAGATCCGGCCTTTTACAGCCAGACTAACATCACGAAGGCGCTAAAAGTGGCTCAGATTGGCATAAGCCGCTCTGGCTTTCACTATTCGTGCATTGATCTCATCACTCACACCACCACCAGCACTTATGCAGCTACCTAGATACACGAACTTCTCGACTACTTCTATCTGCTCACCATCCAGGGTGAGTACAGGATTGGAATCCTGCCAGTCTTGTAGAAGTACTTTTCACTTCGAAGGTGCAAAGCACATACCATACCTACGGACACTGATTGCCAACTGATTAAGTGGGGATTGCATGCCTTGGGCATTATCGCACAGTAAGACAATATCGTCCGCATACTCAAGGTCGAGAAGTCTTTCTCCAGGCAACAGATCCACACCACCATTACTTACATTCATCAGAGCTGTTTCCAGAATGTCATCGATGGCAAAGTTGAAGAGGAATGGTGAGATTGGGCAACCCTGCCTAACCCCACTGCTCGAATGGAACAATGGAGAGAGGTGGTTGTATGCCCTCACTCTGCCTGAGGTGTTTGTATATAGGGCTTTTAGAATGTTAATAAACTCCTCAGGCACACCCCTCTTCAATAGACAATCCCAGAGAACAGTCCTATCCAACGAATCGAAGGCAGCCCTGATGTCAAGAAACACTACGATTGTTGGCCTTTGAAAAGTATGGCGGTGTTCTAACATTTGACGGAGGGTGAAGATATGATCAATACATCCTCGACCAGAACGAAACCCAGCCTGCTCCTCGCGAGTCAATCCTTCTCGGGTTTTGAACAACCTACGAAGTATGACGGAAGCCAATAGCTTGGACGCAATCGGAAGTAGACTTATCCCCCGATAGTTGCTACAAGAACGACGTGAACCCTTTTTAAAGATAGAGACAACTATCGACTCATTCCATGACGTTGGTACACTCTCTAGTTCCCAAACCTTTGTAAACAACGTCGTCAATTCCTTAGTCAAAAAGTCACCACCATCTTTAAAAAGAGCCGGAGGTAAGTCATCTGGGCCAGGTGATTTGTAACGCTTCAAGAGTTGGAGTTCCTTGCGGACTTCCTCCTCATTTGGTGGATCAGTCGTCACCGGCCATGGAGGGCAGGACAGTCTGACCGATGTTGCCGGAGCAGCAGGCCAGTTGAACTGCCCTTCGAAAAATTCTGCCCATCGTCCAAGACGTCGATGGATGTTAGTGATTGGCATCCCATCATCCTCGCAGATTGTTTCACTCACATCAGACTTCTTGCTGCCAGTGGCTCGGATGAGCTGGAAGAGCTTCCGGTAGTTACCAGATGCAGCTGCTGCTTCCAGCTCATTAGCACGCATCGACCATCAGGCTTCTCAGTCCTTACGCAAGCTTTGCCCAATTTCCTTACGTAACATCCTTCGTTTATGGTCAAGCTCACGGTCACCCGGAGTAGACCGACGGGCTTCAATGAGTTGTAAGGAACCTGGAGAAACCCAGTGCTTAAAAGCGGGACGTTTCGCAAACCCACAACTGACTGTTCCCGCCATTTTCATGGCGTCATGCAATTGCAACCAATGCTCATCTATACTTTTCGGTGGAGTGGTAGCTAGCCTAGAGGCTAGCTCGGTTCGATACTTATTTGCAACAGAAGTTGCAACCAGCTTGCTAATATCAATCCGTTGATGGTGGTCACTTCGTTGTCCACTGAAAAGTAAGGCGAGATTGGCGCAGACCAAGGCATGGTCAGAGTCCAGATAGGTACTCCAAAAGGAGCGGCAGTCTTGTACACAACCACGCCAGCGGTAGCTGATCGCGATGTGATCAATCTGAGTCCAGGCTTGGGATGCAGAGGGAGAACGCCAGGTGGCACATCGGCGATGACTGTGCCGAAAGTTAGTGCTAGCCAGAAACAGGTTATGGTCTGTGCACAGTTGCAGTAGACGGTCCCCGTTATCTGACCTGCGACCAACAAGTCCCCATCGGCCACCTAAACGACTCTCTTCTGTGCCTAGACGCCCGACCTGAGCATTCAAGTCTCCGGCTAGTACTACAATATCTGTCGAACGCACTTTCTGGAGAAGAACAGATAACTGGTGGTAAAACTCATCCTTGATTGCATCCGGGCTGCAATCTGTCGGGGCATAGGCGGAGATGACGAAAAGACATCGTTTCTCACGCCGATTTCTTCTCACTTTGATGGAACTTTCTAATCTAACAGCACATAACCGACTGTTAATGGGGATCCAATCGACTAGTGCTGCCTCAGCTCTAGCGCTTAGTGCGACACCAACGCCAGCAAGACCAGACGAAGATGCCACAGGGTCCCCGGATAAGCGCACGTGAAACAAGCTTTTCGAAGCGACAGATGGAGATCGAATTTGTAGTACTTCGCCAGAGTCTTGAATACGGGTCTCGGATAGACAACACACGTCAATATTAAGACTTTCCAAAGACATAGCCAGCCCTATCTGTTGTCCGACCTGCATAAATGTGCGAACGTCGAAGGCAGCCAGTTTGAATGGTGCACGTGGTTTCAGAAAAACTGCTTCAGTCCTCGTATTCGGTGGTAACATACAATTTTCAACCGGACAGTGACTCGAGAACGATTAGATACAGTCAGATTTCCACCAAAGACGAGCCGCTGTATAAGTATAAAAGAGGGTGAGTAATGTGGAAAATAATAATAATAATGATAATAATAACAATAATGACAATAATAGTAGTGATAATAATATTAGTATTAATGACAATAATTGTAATGATAGTAATCTGAATCAATTGTTTGTTTTTCAAAGCGAGAAAGGTAATTTCCATAGGCATAAAAAGTTCATACAAACCAGAAAACGAAATAACAAGTGAAAAAGCCAAACATCTACAAGCTAAACTTCTGAAACTGAGTGGAACATTATATCGAAAAATGTAGTCGCCATCTTCATCCTCGTCTGCATGGACACTAGTCATCTGTCAAACCCCACAAAGTATCTCCGCTTGTATCAATGCACCTAGATAGTCGTGGGTAGGCGTTCGATTAGAAAAATATTAAAGTATTGGACTTAGTAAATATAAAAACCGTAGAAATTTTGAAAGCCCAATACTCAGTTCAATCAGCAACCAATAAACATATTGGGATCTATCTGATTTGTCAGATAGTTAGAAAAATCATAAACAAGGTCAAGTATTCAGATAAGAGGGGAAGACGACCAAAATAAATACACAATGACAAAAAATTGTATACACTGAGCAATCAAGTTGATCGTTGACACAAGTTGTTATTCATATGTAATGGAATTCTAGTAGCTCACTTCTATCTGGAATTTATACTGAAGATTTCGTCTAGGATAATAACTAAAACTTCACAATTAGACTACCCGGCTCGGTGAATGAAACTCCACCAATTTGTGAAAATGTACATAGTTATAAAATATACAAAACACCATCTGCACAAATTCTTGTTGTCAAAATCATAAGGTAATAAATCATTCATTTTGTATAAGTTTTAATGATGCTATCTAGCCCCCAAATGCCCTGGTATGGCCGAGAGTGGGGAGAGTCCGCTCTCCCTCTCGAAATGCTCTCACATGGCCACGCGTATAGCCTCTGCCAGGGAAGTCCTACTCACTGCCTTCTCGTGGCAGGGGTGTTGTTCACAAAAATGAGAGGACGAAAAGCGAATGTCCGGCGCTTTAACCGGATTCCAAACTGATGGTGTGCATGGGCTCCTGTATTCTGCGGGAACATATGGTGCATGAACCAATTGTTAGCCACCGGCTTCCATGGGACTGCATCTCCTTACGATGCTCCACTGCCTTGTGGATCAGATCTTCAGGTCGAAGGCTCGGGGTGTGGCCCCCTAAGAAAACCACCTGCTTCGGTCTGGGCACCCGGACAGTATCACAGCCCTCACACATATCGAATGAGACTTGTATGGAGCATATGTATTTGGTGCCTCCTTGTACCAATATCTATGTGTTAAACTGAATAAATAAATAATCTAGCTGATCTGATGTTGGTGAGTAAAGCGACATTCAAATAAATGAACCTCTGGTTGATAGTTAGAAGTTTAAATCAAAGTGGAAAGTTGACCTAAAATTGTTCTATTCTTGCTCCTTTTTTAAGAGACATCACTTTCAGTGATTGTTTATTGGTATTAATATCATCATCAGAAAAGTTATTTTATGTGATTAAGAGTATCCATGCGCTTAATAAATCCTTGATTAAGGTTACTGAAACTGATTCAAAATCATTTTAGTCACGCGTAACACCGTTCATCTTGAATTTATTCACTTTTCACATCTGTTTTCAGATACCGTTATACAAACTCTAACGAAGTGCAAATCAACGATCCCGTTAGTGCAGTGGCATTTCATAAAGATTTAAAAATGCTTGCAACTGGGTTTGAATCAGGGTTACTTTTACTACATACATTTCCAGACTTCATAATAATCAGTGAAGTAAAGTAAGATGTTACATTTTTCAAATCTATTATTTATTTTATTTTTTAAACAGTAAAAACACAGGTTTACAGAATAAAGTGAATTCATTCTATTTACGGCTTAAATAAGTGTTCAAAAAGAAATAAAATCATAATAATAAGAATAGGATACAAATTGTGTGTACACTTTCTATGTTTGAAGAATTTATTTGAATTCAATGTACAATGTATTATATTGGTGATAGAAACTCATTTCTTTTTCATTCGCAGTCTGTTCACTAACAGTATAAGCAGTCTAACGATTAACCGTAATGGTGATTGGATTGGTGCAGGTTCAGAGCTATTCGGACAAATTGCTGTTTGGGAATGGAGATCGCAATCCTGCTACCTACGCGCTGATTCCCATTCTAAGGAAATGACTAGTTTGGCGTACTCTCCTGATGGTTTACATTTGGTAACTGGGGGTTATGATAACAAAGTGAAAGTTTGGCGTATATCTGGTGGCAGGTGTGTTGTAACCTTTACTGAGCACACAGCTGGTGTTACTGGAGTTGCATTCCCAGCTCAAAATTCCAAAGTCGTTTTGTCAGCCAGTTTGGATGGGACCGTTCGCGCTCATGATTTGATTCGGTATGTTTTTAGTCGTCTTCTAATACATATAGGGTTGAGGGAAATAGTTGATTAACATTTGTTCTTTGCTTTCCGAAATATACTTGTAAGCAAAGTAGTTTGTTTATTTACTAGGTAATTTGATTTGCATCGTTACTAGGTAACCAAAGAATTCATATTAGTATCCGACACCAGTCGAAACACAAAATAATTGTAAGCCATATTTTTCTGCATCTAACTGAACTTATAATGGTCTACAGTTGTTATAAGTGATACATAAATTTTAAGAGACTATCACTTTGATCACTGAAATACTCGTTTCTGTACATCGTCATATGATAACGGTTTCCAGACTGCGAATTATTGCCTAAAATAGAAGGCTAAGTTTTTTCGAGCTTACATTACGATTACATTCAATATAACTATGAAAATTGTTTTCCAGTTACTTTCAGTTTGATAAAAATACAAATTAATACCAACCAGAATCCAATCTAACCAGTTTGATTACAGTTTTCGCCATTACTGAGACTAACTCATTGGTCATCTAGTCGCTAAGTAAGTGTATGTAAACCATCGCCTAGAAATTCTGAGATACGGAATTTATTTTTACTGTTAGTGTAGATGTGGAGATCATCGATAGTTCTCCTTCAGCATATATGTTGCATTGTTATCAAGTGTATGTTATTTATTATTAGCTTCTGTGTAATATTACTTTTTGATGATGATTTGAGTCAGTCAATTTATGTACTTCTCGAGAAATCTCAAGTCAGGCATATCCCTTCTTAAGTTGCAGTAAACCATTAGACCAAATGTGTCAGAATAAAGTTTTACAGTCCAATTAACTAAAAACTTCTCAGAGAAATGTAAGACATTTGTAAGGCTATTTGTCTGCTGTTTATATCCGCTGTTGTAATATAGAGAAGTATTCAATGTTAATAAGAACAACTTTTAATCATGATTTCATTGTTATACAAAAATGAAGATAAGTTTATATACTCATACTCAGAATGGCAACGCTGTCCCTAAGGCGTGAAGTGGAGTGTTTAGTTTTTGCAAGTTTACGCATACTGTGTTTAGTTTCGATATTCATATTTAGGTTAATCAAGAAGAATTGCTCCCAATCTCTTTTGTTGCACAAACTTTAGTTTTATTTTAACTTTTGTTATAACAAACAAGGTTCTAAGATTTTACTATCGATGAATATATTTTTCTAACCGAATGTTACCTATCCTTTTAAATTAATGTTTTAGAATTTCCACAAGAAGTTGATAATAATTATTTTGGTATACCAGTCTAGAATTATAGAAAATACTTTGATATTTATTCAGTATTTCGCCAGTCTTTGCAAGTAATAGATGCGTGAAGTTTACATGTCATTTTTCGGATTTTAAGCATAATGATATAAGAATACAAGTGATATAAGCCCCATTCACGCAGCGTTTGTTTTGATTTAAATAGAGATTTTATCTTTCTACTGCTCGTACGGTTGTTACAGTTCGTGATCTAGTAAGTAGTCAGTCACATTTCCTATTTAATAGCCAAGTACTGATGAATATTCAGTCGATTATGAAGTGTTTCATAATCTATTATGGATCTCAAGGATCTAGCCAGATATTTAAATTATAATTGGCGATTTCTTTAGATTTCGAAACTAAACGAATGAAAATACTCTATAAAAGTTCATTCAAACTTTCTGTGTGTTATTTCAAGGAATAAAAGCTTTTTATTCTGTACCAGAGCTTGTTATTCTCTGAGTGTATTTGTTTTTTTGTCATTATTGTGTCTAAAGCTACAGGAATTTTCGTACATTCACTGTGCCTACTCGTCGCGTTCAGTTCTCGTCGTTGGCTGTTGATACGCGTGGCTCTCTTGTTGCTGCTGGAGGTCTGGATACTTTTGAAGCTTATGTATGGTCAGTTAAGACGGGCCAGCTGTTGACTACCTTAACGGGGCATACTTCTCCCATTAGTGCATTAGCATTTAATCCTGCCATTTCTGGTATTGATATCGAATTGGCTACTGTTAGTTGGGATTGTACGCTTCGATTATGGGATGTTACAGGCAATTCGACTGATGAAAATAATTTATCTAGTATGGGTCTTACAAAAGAGGTTGTTAATTTTTCATGTGATGGTGAGTTACTTCTTAACTTGTTGAACAATATATTTAGGTTCTTAATGTAGCTCATCTAATTTGACAATAATGTGAATTTATGAAAAGTTAGCTCTACACACTCATGAAATTATGAAGTCAAGAAGCAACTATCGATTTGCATTTAATTGGTGGTTGTTTATTTGACTTATGGCCAAGTAGATATAAGTTGTCATTAGGTGATGAATATACTTTGCAAAACATTGTTGAATACGAGTCGTTCTAGTATTCATGTTGCTTCATGTGGTCGTCCAGACCTCATGAGTTATATATAAATAAGATCTCGCCACATACAAAAGGAATTTTATGCTTTTTACAAATTATGCCATTTGTAATGCAGGCTGAATACTCATCTTTTTATTATCAAGTGCGTATTGCACAGGATATTGACATGTCTTTCTTCATGGCTGTAATTTTATCTGTAAAGTTGGAAGACGTTTAGGTTGTCGGTATTTGAATATCATTGTCTTCAAAAAATTGCGTGTGTGATGGAAACGCTAAGGAATTAATGGTAATTTTCTTCGGATAATCCTAGCTATAATTAGTTAATATGTCTATACGATTGGGAAACGGTTAAAATGTTCCAAATCGACTTTTGTTGTGAATTGTGTAGGGGAGTAGAAACTTGGTTATAATCCGTGATATAAACGTGGAAAATTATTTTTAAAAAGTCTCAAATTTGTTTCCTTTGGTTTCCATTTTCTTGCAGTTACTGTCGGTATCGGTATTTTTGATCCTTTACATGTTCTCACATTTATTAGTTGGTGTATAATGCAACACTTAGACCAATAAACATAAGTGTTTATTTCCACCTTACTTCTCGTTGTTTTAATGTGATTTCCACGATAATCTGTCAACGTCGGTATTATCTTCAATATTGTTTGTCGAGAACATCCCACCATCAAAATGCTATAGTTTCTTGTTTGTCCATTACTAATTAGCTGTAATGACAAACGGTTGACAAAATAGACCCTTTTCTTTCAACTTTTCTTTGTAACTGGATTCACGAAAATAATCTGTTGTAGATATTCGTTTTTCACTATTGAAGGAAAGCTAATGGTTGTAATGGGTAATCTTGAAGAGAAATTTTAAACTATGATCCAGTCAAATCTGTTAGATGAAACGTTTAAAGATCAGTCAAAGTCGGAAAATATCTTTGTTATGAGAGACTGCGTTGAGTATGATGAAAGTAAAATGGTTAGACTGCATTATTTCCTCATAACAATCCCACCATCAACACATTTCGTTGTGATAAAAACTAAAGCACATGTTTGCAGAGGTTTAATCGGTTTGTCATTACAAGAATTCATGCACCTAGATAAAAGTATATATGAAGTAAATAAATTTCTACTCTACTCAACAACCTTTTAGTCGATGCCCAGAAGAAGCCCATCATATCGTGTGTTTAAACTCCTGTCATTTGAATGTTTACCCAACCAGTCATTCTTTGTAAACTTTATGTAGAGTTAGGGCTTATAATCACTGCCTTCTTTATTATTTAGTTAGGTTTTGAGAAAGCTTCACCACTAAAGAAGATTTAAAAAATTTGTCTAATTACAGGAGGATTTATTTTAGGCACTGGAATATATACTACTTTTAAGTAGATCAAGTGAATTCACAAAAATTACATACATTTATTTGTTAACTATGCTGCATATTTCGCATTTCAGTTTTACACAGACAAGACTATTTTATCTTTGTAAATGTCAGAAAGTTATTGTGCACAGTTCAAATATTTTTAGAATAAATGATATAAATGGTTGTTAGTACCATACAACTAATGGCAAATACAGCAGTACTTATAGCTATATTGTGCTAGATTTTGTATACTTTGGATGATAATCAACACTGTTATCATGAGTATTTAGTCCAGCACCATATGCAAAACTAAGTCGATGCCGATCATCGTGAACTTTCATGAATCCGCTAAAGTTCTGCTTATCATCCCGGAGCTTGCTCACATATGCTCCACATCTTTTTCATTGTAAAAATTGGGAACTCAAGTTCGGAAGTTCTAACTAGGTTATAGTTGCATAAATATCATTCTAAATAAAGGCGAATAAGGTTAGTACATACCTAAAGTCCATGAACCAGTGTCATGCTTTGTCGTATAATTATACTCCCATGCCATTGGAAAAACGATAAATTCGAACATTAACTGTCAAAAACCCCATGCACTGAGCAACCAACCTCCAGTAAAACGAATGTATTTATCAGCTGTACAAAATATATGATGCACCATATGCTACATGTAATACAATACAATTGTGGTGTATGCTAATTATGCTGGTAGACATAATTAGCATGTAGCAGCAATCGAAAATGGAATACCCACATGCACAAGATTGAATTAAAGAGAATGGGGAAACAGAGAGCAATTCGAATAACAACAGAATTGAAAGAGTCATGAAGTATTTAAAGGAAAAATAAAGGGAGATGTGCAAATAATTTATTTAATGTGTAATTTTCATGTTTTACAAGGAGATTGTGAAATTTTGCATTAAACAGTAAATTAGTTTTTCCCACCGAGTCTTCTATCACTACACATTTGGTGCCGTTGTCTACCAAGATGCGGAATAATGTTACTTTTTAATGTTTCGTGTAACGTATTTTCACTTACAAATTCATACTTAATTTAGATACGACTATGTAAATCTAAAAGCGAAGTGATGTATTCACTTTATTGGTTAGTGGTTCTCAGGGATAAAAGCGTAGAATATATCTGTAATTTAAATCATTTCAATATAGAACTTAACGTAACTGATTTATGAATTGTAAGAATCGTATTTCCCAGTGAATATTCTAATGCCACAGGTAGTATTTTGTCCGTACACCCTACTATTTATAGTCAACTATTTAGCTGTATTTAGTTTCGTTTTACAGTTTGATTTTCTTCAGTAGCAATAATTATTTCAAGATTGATCATCATATTATATTTAGAAAGTCCTTATTGTTTTTTTTGTATTGAATTGTAGCTTTATACGTTGTATATCGAGCTGATGGTAAGCAGCTGGCTATTTCCCTTTTAAATGGAAACATAGTTTTCTATGACCCTAATGAAGGGGTTGAAATGGGAACCATAGATGGTCATCGGGATCTTGGGGTAGCACAGACTAGTGAGGAAGACTTAGTTACCCCACGTAGAGCAGCCGAATCTAAGTATGTTTATTATAGTGTATCAAACATAGTTTTATAAATGCTTTTTTAAAAGAATATTTGGTATCTTTTCTAAAACCCGAGCATCGTCAGAAGCTCTGAAAATATCTATCATAAAATGATATATCAGTATCACAAAGCTAACAAAAAAATAAAAATCATCAAATAATCATTCTTCAAATAAATAGGAGCTCATTGTTTCCGATTAAATTTATAGTTAACATCAATCTGTGACGTAAATTATCTTCAAAAATATACTTAATTAGCCATAACTAATGCTTTAGTTTGTCTGTTTGACTATACACACTTAAATATTTTTATTACATATTCTTGTCAATAGGAAATTCCAAACTATAGCTTATTCTGTCGACGGTGAACATTTAATAGCAGGTGGAGATTCAAAATACATATGTCTCTATTCTGTTCCTGATAAATTATTAATTAAACGATTTGAAGTCACATGTAATCTTTCACTAGCTGGAGTTCAAGAGATACACGATCGACGTAACTATTTACATCGTTTCAGTATGGAAACAATGAACGCCAAAGAAGCACAACGTCCTAGTTTGCGAATCCCATCAAGCATTAAGGGTGAAGATCGTAGTCGTCGCCAGTGGAGACCTGAAGTGAGAGTTTCTGCAGTTGAATTTTCACCTACAGGTACATTGACAGATTTTTGTTGGTCCCAATTGTCAACTTTTTGATTATTTATCAATAGTTATATGTTTTATAAAATATATATCACATCTATAATCAGTCTAATCCTTAACTTATGTCGTTCTACGCTTTATGTCCACAGGTGATTCATTCGCAACTGCCACTACAGAAGGTATTCTTGTATATTCCTTACCATCTGCTGGAACAGGGTATGGCATAAGTAGTATTTTTGGTGCTTCAAGCTGTAGTGATAGTGGTTGGTTGTTTGATACATTAGGTATTGATGAACAAACCACTCCATCAAACGCTCGTAGTGCACTCGTTCAAGGTAGACATGCAGAGGCGTTGGACATGGCTATTCGATTGCAATCGCATGAACTTGTTGAGGAAGTCATTGAATCAATTCCCGTTGACCAAAGTAAACATTACTTAGATCATTTTACATATATATATATTTTTACCTGTCAGCATTAAATCTCTTCATTACTGGGATGATCTAGCTATTGAATTTACTTGATCAAATCGGTCATAAATTTCTAAATTTTCAGGTTTATTCCTAATAATCTCATGGTACATAATATTAAAAAGATTTGCTGGTATTTAATTGTGGTTAGACTAGCCGTATTTCTAAATGTCATCATGGTCAGTGATTCAGTTCTCTATCCTTCAATGACTTTATGTTCAGTTTTTCTACTGCAACTGTAACTCATATGAGAGTAGATAGCTGTCGCATTGTCTTGTACTCATTTTTTCTATTTCGTACAGTTTATACTGTAGTATTTATGCTATTTTTAAGTCTAAGTAACTGAATAATTCCATTCATCAGTACGTAAGTGGGCAGTCTATGCCCTTGAATAACGGGAGGTGAGATATTATTGTGGAAATTTCATCTTATTTGATTTAGACCTCGACATAATTTATTTATGATTGGGTAAGTATCTTCGGGTGACATTTCTTTCGTCCCATAAAAGCAGTTAAGTTGTATGTAATTTATATTTCGGTTTCCTGTGATAAAGCTGGAAATTGTTAACAATTAGTGATATAAACAGCCTCAGTTGATGATGTTAACTACTGCACGTTTTCATAAATAATGAGATTATTTTCAGAGTTCTAGCAAACGAAAAAGGACCTAACAGCTATTCATATTCGTCTTACTGTATGATGATGCCCAAGCCATGCAATCCGCACTTAATCAGTTGGCAATCAATATCCATAGGTACGGTATGTGCTTTGCACCTTCGAAGTGCAAAGAACTTCTACAAGTCTGGCAGGATTCGAATCCCGTACTCACCCTAGGTGGTGAGCAGATAGAAGTAGTCGAGTTTGTGTATCTAGGTAGCTGCATAAGTGCTGGTGGGGGTGTGAGTGATGAGATCAATGCACGAATAGTGAAAGCCAGAGCGGCTTATGCCAATCTGGGCCACCTTTGGCGCCTTCGTGATGTTAGTCTGGCTGTAAAAGGCTGGATCTACAACGCGTCGGTGAGAGCAGTTCTGCTCTATGCTTGTGAAACCTGGCCTCTCCGAGTTGAGGATGTTAGACGACTCTCTGTGTTCGATCATCGTTGTTTCCGAAGGATCGTTGACATCCAGTGGCAACACCATGTTAGTAGTGCAGAGGTTCGGCATCGTGTGTTCGGGCGCAGTGACGATAATTCAATTGGTGTCGCCATCTTGAAACATCGACTTCAGTGGCTTGGACATGTACTACGAATGTCATCCCAGAGAATTCCACATCGTGCATTATTTGCCGACGCTGGGACTGGTTGGAAAAAGCGGAGAGGTGGTCAGATTTCTTTCTTTTTTGACGACTTGTAGGAAATAAACCATTCTATTCTATTCGAGTTGGTTATTTAAGATATTTAGCTACTTTATACATGGAATACCTTCTGATGATGAACTGCTGGAAAGTGTTTTATTGGTAATGTCCTTCAGCCTATTGGACAATTTTTGATTGTGGAAATAGGTTGGACATACAGTCATCGGGTTTGTGAAAAAGTCTTTGCAATGAGTAAATATAGATTAAGTCTTTGTAGTTGAAACTTGATATTTGGTAGTGATCAATTACTGGAGGGAAATCTGATGTCTCATAAACAATCTATTATTTCATAGGTTTAATTTCCACACTGTTGATATATTTTCATGAATTCTTTCTTCAAGGCTGTCTACACTTTAAATTTTCGTTATGTTTTAGTTGATTTTTTAGCCCGTCAACTCCCTATAAATCAAATTGCACATTATCTCATCTCTTTTCTTGCTCGTCAGTTGAGTGGCCGATCACGTCATGTTGAGTTATATGTTCGCTGGACACATTCTATACTCCGTTCTCATGCATTGAACTTGCGAAGAATAGCTGCTAATTCAGCTTTATCTGAATGTACGAATTCTAAGGAGTCAAGAAATCTTCCGAATAACGAATCAATAGACAACAAAAAGGAACTTTGTAATCCAGGTTTTTTAACTTTACAAGGTGAATGGGCAACTTGCCAAGCAAACTTAGTTCGCTTACAGGCTAGTCTGAATCATGTAAAGTCTAATATAATCAAACAGTGAGTTATTTTATCGATTGATCCAGATCGTCTTTCCATTCTCGAATTATTATTATCATTCTTTTAACATTTTATTAATCTTCTTACAATTAAGTTGGTGTGTTTTATACTTATTTATCGCTGCATTTAAACCTAGGCTGGTGAATTAAATATTTTTACAAGTGAATACTCACGAACATTTTCACACAGTTAACCGTCAGTCATGTGTTGTGTGTTTCTTGGAAGTTCTGTATTGTTGCTTAAACGAGGTTAAGTGATTGAGTTTCAACAGCGCCATAGTTGGAGTGCGAGCTACACATGATCAATTAGCTATATCTACTGGTTATATATACTTAATTGTGTGTATATTTATATATTATTTTGATCTATTTTGGGGTCTATCGTATTCGTGTTATTACTTGCGTCGTTCGATTCATGGTTTCCATTAGCAAGGACCCAAGATGGTCAACTATATTCCACAAGTGTAAAAGGGTTCTATTAGAACTATTCCATCACTGGTTTACTATTAATCCTTACCATTAAGATAAAGCCTATGAATACATTAACATTTTTATGTGGTTCCCAGTCGTTCGAGATTTCATATTTGAGTGACCTGATATAATTGAACAACTTCAAGGTTTTCATCTTAGAACTGGTTTTTTACCAAATTAAAACAACGAATTCATACTGAAATAACCAAAGACCAAATTAAAAGAATTAAAATGAGAGTATTATATATATAATACTCTCATTTTAATTCTTTTAATTTGGTCTTTGGTTATTTCAGTATGAATTCGTTGTTTTAATTTCTTTTGACTTAGTTTGATTTAGATTTTTTTCCTAACTAATTTGTTAAATCTCTATATCATTTTCTTCACTCATTGTTTTTTTAAAACTTCACATCAACTGATTAAGTGTTGAGGGCAATGATTTGTTATAACTTATGGCATGTGTGCCCTGTTAATGTATAACGTAATTATACCGCCATTTAGAGAGCAGTGAGTTGTCGATCGGACCAGTGACGCGTAAAACCCATGAGAGCAATCTAGAGTCCTTATTGGTCCTATTTCCTGCCTAACCCATCCAGTTAAGTCCAGAACACCAATCTCAACCTCTGCGATATGAATCATTTATTTCAAGCATGCTGGGTTTATATACCAACCAGACAGACCACATCGTAACATAAAATAGGAAAGAACATTCGTACAAGTTTTAGCCAAAAGTGGCTGTGAGTGTAGGAGGTAGTAATTATTAGACGGGGCATAATTCAAAAATGGTAAATCGTATAATAATAGTTCATAGGTCAAAATAAAGCTCATAATAAGAGGGACATGAATATGAATAGTTTAGTTATTTAACAATTATTTGATAAAAATATACTCATAGTATTGGTCCATAAATGGATCCCAAACGTTACCATTCATTATGCTTATCGGGACATAACACAATTAACAGTATAACTTGCTATTAATTTCACTATCTTAATTATACTTCTTTGGAAGAGATAGAATAATTTACTCATTTTGAACTTTATTTGGCCATTGTTAATGCTGCATAACTGAAATGTGTTGTGTATTCATAAGACGGTAGATGTTAATAAACTTTTATGTCATTCATAAACTTCACTAAAAATAAAGTTACGATTATTTCATCAATTTATCAGTTGATTATATTCTTGATTACACTTCTCAATCATGAATGTTATTAGAGTAAGTTATAACCTTAAAGAAGTGTTTTTTCATTTTCGTTCTAATAAAAATGATTATTCTTTTACTAGATTTCTCTATCTAAATGATATTTTGTATATGTGTACCCCTTCTTTTATTTCTTATATCCAACGGGTTGTTTTCGAAGCTAATTTAGTTACAATCAATTCAGTTTTTCCACCCTTTACTTTTCCTCTATTTTCTAATCTTCACTTCTTTGTGGTTTTTTCTCTTGTTTCTCTAATTAATTTGATAAAGAATGACAGATTATTTTGATTAAAAAAGCTGCTGGAGTCAAATCAGATAAATAAATAAAATTAACTAACGATTATCTATCATTTCTGTCTTACATTTTCTAATGATTTTGCTGCTATTGTTATCATTGTTGTGTGAATAGATTGACGTAAGTCAACATTGTTTCTGTTATTCCTACCTCTTTTCTTTCGTCTTTTTAAATTCTTTTGTGTGGTGAAGTGTTTACGCTGTAAATTATGTTGCATTTGTTGAAAGAGGAAAAATATAGTGTTTTTTGTCAGTTTTTTGTTACCATAGTATCAAGTTAGTGTTTTCCTCGCCCGTTGATCTATTGTGCTTGTGACTTGAGATATAGAGATAAGTTTTTTTAAAGATGAAAGTCTATAGAAGTAACTAATAATTTTTAATAACATCATACTCTTTCTTATTCATATTAATCAATTCTTTACCAGTGTTGTATAACAAAGGTTGAATAGATGATTCAAGTTCTGGGAACAGATCATGACAATGTAGATCTTTGTGAATGAACTATAATGAGTTATAGCGACTTCGACCGTTTTCCATTGATGTAGTGTTTTATCCTAAAACTTGTTTAGGTAAGCTTACTAACTAGGTACTAATGCACAACACTTAAGGTGCTGTATTGAATACTTTAAAAAAGAAATCTGTCATACCTAAAACTGCAACCATTAGGTGTGATAACGAATCATCTACCTAATAAGGTGGAGCTGCGAATGAAACTGTAGCCACTAAAATCCAACAAAACACGCAACACAAGATTAAAATGATTTTCCAGTCTGAGAATTGGGTAGATAAGTATGACTAACCGGCTATTTTTGTTTTCTGCAATAAAGTCATTGTTATACTCTTCATTATCAGCAGTCTTCATAATGAATGTGATATCCATCGATGTGAACATTCTAACAGTTACTTCAAAATTACTGCCTATTGTTATACTTCTCATTTTGTTCGGAATGAGTACAAAATTAGCTCAAAAATCTAGCCAACTTACGTGCCGGTTATCACTATGTCAATTTTCTCTTCTCTTCTCTCAAGTTGTTGAAACGACGTCACGCACAATTGAGGACCTTAATAGGAGGAGATTGTGTACTTACTGTTAAAACCTTATAAAGTGCATTATCATGTCGACATACATACTGATAGATGGTTTTTAGTTAAGATTTATCAACGCTCCTAGCAATGCTGCATCTGGAAAGGTTGACAGATTTAAATTTTTTTTTAAAATCTTAGTTATTTTCTCAATCTCTGTCCTTGGTGCTATCATTTTTTTCACGCTCCGTTTTTATCACAAAAGTCTTCACATTTTCCAGTGCCCTAATGTAACACGATTTTGTAATAACTGTTGAAGTTCTTACAAGCGCGATAAAGCCTGTGAGTTGTTAGAATAATCAAACTCTTAAAATGTTCATGATTCTATGCTCAAAACATAATTCGGATTAATAAAATTTTTTAAAAAGTTTGTTATTATTTCAATTCGTACACTCATAAATCTGCTAATTTTCACATTTTTTTCCAGTTGCGAAAATGTGGACAATTTGTGGAATTATTACGAAAGTTTATTCAAATTGTATCACGAAAAGGATGATAATAATGTACAGAGTGAAAATATCATGGAATATGGTTCGAGCTAATTAGTTTCATATTGTACTTATTCACTCTTACATTATGAAAAGTGCGTGTATTTATAATTAATATAACTCGATTTATTGACAATATAATCACATCTTTGTTCGTAGATTATCCATTTATCGTGAATTGTATCTTCAAAACATACTCATAATCAAAATGTTTGTAAATACAAGTTCTTTCAGAAGTGTTCATGGTTGTTATCAATAGTCGGAACTAATCAAAAACATTACTCTATACGTAATCCCTAAAAAACGTGTAGATATGTGAATCATATCATGCAATGATAATAAGACTTTCTAAAATCTTAAACAAAACTACCTGTTTTACGTTCTCCATTAGGAACAATGGAAGCTCCAGGCTTAAATATCACACAGATGCAGAATTGCTGGGTTAAAGTGTCGTAAAATAGCTGTATGCAAACTACCGTTTGTTAATTCTATGAGATAATTACAGGTCAGAAGTAGCCAGTCTTTATGTAATAGTAATACCAAGACAATAAACTTGGGACTTCTTGTGTTACAGTTTTCTGAACCAATAGTCAAACTAGTCATTTGGTGAATGTGTAAATATTGAAGGATGATTAGCATTCTAGTTTTGAAGGAAATTTTTATATTATGACAGCAATTCAGCAACTTGACTGAATCCACAAAATGTATGTAACTTGCTACTTTAACGTGATTTTGGAGAAATTTCTAAGTAACACTTGGCGCATTTACAATTAAATTAGTTTTATGTTTCGAAATATTTTAGAATTGCGATAGATACGTTAGTTACCGTGATTAAAGTGACTTACTTATTTACTTACTTACGCCTGTTACTCCTAATGGAGCATGGGCCGCCGACCAGCATTCTCCAACCCACTCTGTCCTCCGCCTTCTTTTCTAGTTCCATCCAATTCTTGTTCATTTTTCTCATGTCTACCTCCGTTTCACGGCGTAATGTGTTCTTTGGTCTTCCTCTTTTCCTTTGGCCTTGAGGATTCCATGTGGGGGCTTGTCTCGTGACGCAGTTGGGTGCTTTCCTCAATGTGTGTCCTATCCACTTCCAGTGCTTCTTAATTTCTCCCCCCCCGGAGGGACTCCAGGCGGAGTTGGTTTAGGTGACTGCAGGTGCTTAATTTTAGTTACAGTCGTTATTTCCAAAGGCTTCGATAAGAAAATGAAATAATTCACGGAAATTTGTCTTGATAAGAAACTTGTACTGCTTTTTCTTTTATCCTGGGTCCCATACTAGGGCGAAACGGCTGTCCATTGCTTCTAGGTTTTCACTTGTGGTCTAGCTTACATCGACTCATGAATTCAACTAATAATTCACTACAATCTTCGCAAAACTTCATTCTAGTAAAATTTAAATAAAGTGAAAAAATTTTGCGGAATAACATGAATTCGTTATATTTCAAGGCTTCTCATCAGTTGCGAGTACCCTAAATTTATATTTGTGATATTATTATAGGAGGTTTTACATACCGTAATCAACGAAGTTGAGTTCTAAATAAAATAAGAAACACGAAGAGGAAACGACATATTTAACTTAACATTTAAGCTTTATCAGTATTTATATGCTGAAGATGAGGGATAGAAGTGGATTCATGAATGATAATTAAAAGACAATGAGTGAAATTAAATTGTTAGCAAGAAGTGATGATCGAGGCACCCAGCCGACATAAAATTAAAGTTAACGTCTTGAGTGAATATCAGTGGGATTTTTTAAGTTATAAAGTACAATAAAGAGCAGGTAGCTAGAAAATGATATAACTATCTTACCATGGTAATGAGTTCACTACAAGTTTTTCTGTGCACAAATTTAAATCGAAAGTGCTTCATGGCAGTTGCCTCCAAAGTGGTTTTTGCTGCTTGTTAATTATCTTGGGCGGTTTTGTGATGTACACTCTCCATTAAATGTATAGTAATTGCATTTGTGAATCTTTTCAGATATAAATTACATAGAATATATTCAGAATACCTTGTAGATGGTCTTTTTTCCAGTCTTTCCTATGTCAGTCAGTCAGTCAGCTACAACGTAGGACCAGGCACATTTGTGCATCGGTCCAGGTTGCCATACCGCATCAGCACAACAAGATGAACACCGGATTCATATCAGTGGTTAGGTCAAAGGTAGTAATATGTAAGAGAAAGATTGCATATAGAGATATAGTACAAGAAGAAAGAATTGGTTCGTTGAAAGAAAGTTATGAAGCGATTTTAATCTCTTAGTTTAAGGGAAGACAGAGAGTGTATACACCGACGCCATTGTGATCGATTCTGAACCATGTCACCAAGAGTCTCCAACCATTGGTTACGATAGTCACGCGGACCCCAACCAAGTAGTCTGCATCTACCAACATAGCTCAGACCAGAAGTTCGTGTCTTCAAGCACTGATACTAAGTTTTGGTTTGGCCGCCCCTAACTTTCTTCCAACCATTTCCAATACCGGATAGCATTGCACGTCGTGGTAATCGGTGTTCAGGCATACGTAACACGTGACCCAACCATCTCAGTCGATGAAGATTCATAACCTATGTACTCGTAAATGTAAATTTATAAAATATTTGGTGACCCCAGGAAGTCACTGACCCACTTTTAATTGGTTTAATGAACATCTGGTGTTTACGCTGAAAATAATCGGGCTGCAAGGAGACTTCCCTCTGATAACACTGTAATCCTTTCTTTCCATCAAAACTGAAGTCTCACCTTCGAATCCAAGATCGGCGAAGACAAGTTTTTTGTGGACTTCCCGTAAACATTTTTCTGTACTCCATAATCAATTTCTTTGGATATCCACTTTTTATAAGACACTCGTCAGTGTATGCAATTTCTTCCTGTATTTCCGTTGTACATAAACGTTGTTTAGTCGAAACCCTTTTTCACAGGGCTAGAAGATTGTGTCCAACGAATAAAATATCGGAAGAACTAGCATACATTGAAAAATATCTTATGTAAAGTGTGTAAGACTTATGATAATATTACTGATGTAAATTCAGGCCATTCTTGACTGATAAGAAGCCATAAAATATAATGAATTCGTGTTATTTTGCGAATCTTGCTTTATTTCAATCATATTTTTAACAAATATTTAACTTACTAAGTACAAGATGATGAACTCAGCTATGAGTAATACATAAGTCGTGATAATTCCCGGAAGCCCAAACAGTAAATGGAAAAGGGTTAGGGTATTCAATTTGTTGACTGAATGCTTTGCCTACTTAATCACCACTCAGATTCTTAGTGTGTTAAATTTTTGGCATACTTTGCTCATTTATTAATAAGATATTCGAAATAGCTCTGACCTTATAAAGTCAATTATAATATAACTCACAGATTTAATAATTCACTGTAAGTGGATTAATTGAATGATTATATTTCAGGCTGTTGACTGACCAGAAGGTTCACTATTTCTTATTTTTGTTGAAATGTAGGTTAAACTTCGTATTTTCGGTTTATTATACCCTTAAGCAACAGGCCCCTTGTCGTAATCCGAAATTGGCAATTTCATGTTATTTCTCACGTTTGTTATTTAGAATGATTCCTCATTGATTATCAAAATGCTTTCCTCGGTACTTCATTTCTTTCCGTCTAAATTGATGAATTTGTATACCTAGTGGTAATTGAAAATAAAGTCCTTGTCCGTTTGATGATTGTGGGAAATTGGATTTAATGGAAATATCAACATTTCTAAAAAAAACTTTTGTAATATCTATGTTTAATTCTGAAATATCTTTTATTAATAATAAACTTTCACTGGTTATTCTGTTAATTATCAACTTGTTCATCTTCACAACCATATGATAATTGCTTTTGACAAAAATTCCTATGGGAAGATGTGATAAGATAAATGTCAAAAATTAATGACAGATAAACACAGTCGTCTTATTTAATAGTTCCAAATAAATTCAATTGGTTTAGGTTTCAGTGGATATTCGTATGCATCAGAGATAACTGATAATCTTATTATTGGTAAAAAAAAACTTAAGACCTTTTAGAGATGAAATATTTTCTGAATCATAAATTATTGTATTCTTTCTGGAGACCCGAATGAAAGATTGCCGCTAACATCAAATACACTGCCAGTGGTTTTTGTAACATTCTGTAATTTCAGGTAGGATATGATATATATGTAAGGATCCACCAACCGGATGTTAAGAAACAGGTTTGTCTATGTGTCTATACATTTACAAAAGTAATTATAAAAAGGCACCGTATCCGACTTATCATGCTAAAGTTTCATCAGCTGACTAGTTTGAATACTAAGAACATAAAACGTTTAGTGCCATTTGACGTATGCTTCGTTAAAAATCTGAAATTTATTGTATCCTGACATAGGTGGATGATGATCCTACTTTAAATGTTTTTAGAAATTTCAATATCATCTGTCTGTCAATGGGTCAAATGAACGTCACAATTTTAATCTGACATTTTTGATATGTATGATGATCGTCTGAATTTGATAGCAATATGTACGCTTTCTATATGTGAGTTCAACCTCTTACTTGAGTAAGAAGATAAGAAATGAATAGGCATCTTTTTTAGCTAACGGAATGAAAACGCTACACAGACTCATAAACATATAGATCTTCCTCGGATATTTGAGCAGAGTTCCAGCTCTAGTGATATGTTCAGAAAGCAAAAGATATTCATTTTAGTTTTTAGTGTTAATCACCGGAAAATAGTGGTAGCGCAATTTAGTTCACCAACAATCGAGAGGTGGCTTAGTGTTTAAAACGTTGTGATTTAAGCCTGTACCTAAAGGATTCGAACCCAAGATTTCCCTACCCCAGACGGGTGTGTCACAAATGTGTGGCATAATGCTGAGTAGATCAACCTATATTTGTAAACGAGTTGTATTACATTTAGTTGGGTAGCATTAAGTGTCTACAGTAAAAGTATAAAGCACTTTTGGTGATATTTTATTAAGCTAATTAAATTAGTTGTTGCATACAATCAGATATTCCAATGATTATGTACTTGGTGTGTTCAGGTATAGATATGAATTGGGAGTATTTAAATAATTATCTAGTAGAGATTCCCAAAGCATTATAATGGCAATAAAGCAGTTCTCTATAGATTAACCAAGTGATTTACCTCTATTTGAAAATGCAAGATTGTGTTGAAAACACTGGGGACTGATTAAACTGGATATAGGCATCATTAAATTTGAAGTATGTATATCTTAGGTACAAAGAGG